GAGAGAGAGAGAGAGAAGCGAAAATCAAAACGGACAATCAGCTTAGACGCGTTACGCCCGCGGAAATCGAATCGATATGCGCTACTTATCTTAGAGCTTACATCGACAATCGCGATAAACGCAAGCTTCGCACAAGCACACGATCACATTTGCACAAACATTTGCCGTATACACTCGAGAGAAATTAGGCCAGATGGGTTGAGAAAACGTATGCGACACGTACGCAAACATATTCACACATACGCATACACATACACAACATACACACATACATACACGCAAGCACACGCCAAACGTGTGTGACCTCCATCGCACTAACAAATGCTAACAATTGTCAGAATCAGGGAAAGGGGTGCTCCACCCCCACCCCCACCCGCCTCGTCGACATCCTCCAACGTGCATTTGAGGAAAAGGTAACAATCAAGAACAGCTTTCAGTCGACCAAAAATAATGAAACGTAGCGGAACGAGGGAGGAGCAAAATAAGGCAGGAAGGAGACAGAGAGAGAAAAAAGATGTTACGATCATCGGCGGACAGAAATGTTTACAAGTGTGAAACGCGTCGCGCTTCACATCGTTGCCACCCATCGATATTGCCTTGTTGCCTTCTTGCTCCTCTCCATTTGCTTCGTTCGAATTATCATGAGTATTGCTGCCACGTAGACAGCATTTGCTCTGCTTGTATTCCTATTAGTTATTCGTATCGCACTGCTTGCTTCATACGCACCATTATCCATTCATATTCTACGTAATATGTCTGATCTCTTCAACTTGTATATCATCAATCGTAATCACACCGTCATAGTGCTCTCATTACCGCCATTCGCAACTCTCACTCTCGTATCACCATCGATCACCATCGTTAATCACCAACGAATCCACTCACGAAGGCTCACGAATTTTCACGATCTCGCCTCGGTCTTACCTCGTTCGTTTTCGATCGATTTTTCCGTTCCGGACGAGTTTATTTCGCTTTTCACACTGTGACCGCGCGTTGTCTTCGTATGTCGATGTTACCGACCGGGTCGATACGCGAATCGAAGTAGAAGAATTTTTATTACGACGCGGTCGTGAAAATTTATCGAGCCTCGGTCAAAGTGTATATAAAGATATATTTTACCGACCCCCTTCTACGAACCCCCGTTTCATATCGTAATATCTACCCGTAAACCCGTCTTTAATAGTGTAAAATTAAGTAAATGACACCAATGGAATAATCTTGAATCCTAGAAATGAGTAGTAAACCACCGAAACTCGATTCTAAATCTCTCACACTCTTTTACCCTTTTAACCAGCCATTTTCTTTACCATTTTCGATCCCCTAATTTTTTACTTTCGCTCGCAGAACGTCTTTTACAATCTACGTTGTCCATTTACGAGAAATCGTAGATTTTTCTTTTGAACATGATGGAATATACAATTTTAGAGAAATGACTTTCTACGAGCAAGAGATACTCGACTATATCTATATGAATGTTCTTACCAACTAATGATATTATTAGTGTATATATATATATACATATACATATACTTGATATACAGGATGAGGTTGAAAGATATTCGCAAGATGGTGATTCCTTGTGAAAAAAATTCATTTTTACTTTTTTTTTTTTTTACTAAGGAATTATCGTTTCATTCAAAACATCATTCGGCCACATTTCTGTACTAATCCCCTTTACCCCAACGGATGATCTAGGATTACGTATATCACAAGAGTAGCCATTTCGATAATCAAAGTAAGAACGCGAAACGGCTAATCTTCCCCTGTAATAAAAAAAATATCTCATCGATAGAATCTCCGAAATGAAAAAAGGAAAAAAGGAAAGCGTCTCTGTTTCTCTCTAGTTTCGACGTTCGTTTTACACGGAGCTGTGTAAATTTCTCGAGCCTCAAGAGCCGCTTTTCATTTTTCCACCCTTGTTCTTAGATTCTTAGATCAACGACCTGTTGAGAGGATCGAGTCCAAGATATTCCAGGTCTTTGATCTCGCATAGTGTGCCTTCCTCGATCCCTCGACAAAGATAATATATATATATATATAATTAAAAAAAAAAAAAAAAAAAAAAGAAAGAAAGAAAAGAGAAATCGGACGGAAAGTTAATATTAACACTGGAATTTTCGACAGGGGCACCAATCCACTAGCGCCGGACGCGGTGGATTTAACGCAATTGACCTCGGTCAGCGAGTGGCTGGCTTCCATCAAGATGTCACGGTACGCGGAGAGTTTCGAGAGATCCGGAGTGACTACGTTGGAGGCGGCCGCTCGGGTCACCGTTCAAGAGTTGACGGCGCTTGGGGTGACGTTGGTAGGCCACCAGAAGAAGATCATGAACAGCGTGACGGCGCTGAGAGCGCAAATGTCCGCCACCTCGCAAGGATTTCTCGTTTAATCGTTTGGCGCACGGTCGGTGCGCTTCTCACCACACGCAATTTCACGCAATTTGACGCAGGATTCGATATCCTATCGACCAAACGCATCCGTTCACTCGAAGGGGGTTTCGTCCTCCTCCGGTCGATCCACCCGCCTAGTCAGGACGATAGACCTGTTTCTTCGAACAAACATTCATCCCTTCCTTCGCAGACGACCAACAGCGATCGAGACGCTACGCTACAAGAAACTCCGCCAATCTCGAGGCATAGCGTTGACACTCGCTGACATTCCAACGCGAATTCGCTCGAATTCGATCTGTCAGTCGGGCTCCCGTCTCTCTCGACGGAAATGGAAGACGACGAATTTCGCGGCTGCGACCGCTCATCGACCCAATCAGGTTGAAAGCCACGGTGTCGTGCCACGCGACGAAAACTCGTAACGGGATCAATAAGTGAGAAAAGAAAAAGGAGAAAAAGAAAATATGCACGACTCCGTGAACGAGTCGGCCATTAACTTTGTCTTTCTCTTTCTATACAATATCTTTCTCGCGCGTGGAATCATCGCCGCATGAAAGGAATCGTCTAACTGCCACTATAAATCACTGCCGCATCGATTGCACACACGTGGAGAATCACGTGCCGACAAACGCAATTCTTACATCTTAAACTCGGAATTTTTCGGAACCGTGCTTCGGGAATCGTGAATTTGAACGCACTGAATCGTTGCTCACACGCGCTCGTTGCAGAGAGAAAATGCAATAGTCCTGCCAATCGACTTTCCGTTTTATCGCTCGAAACGATTTTTTTTTCTTTTTTTTTTTTTTCTTTTTTTCCAGCCACTTCGACGAAGCCGCTGGTTCCCTTGTTTCACAGTGTGCTCCTACCTTACTTGTGTTGCGCAGCGGTTAACTTAACACACACACTCGTTAAACGTTGAAAACAGGTGATCGTCGATCGTGCTTCGAACGATCGATCGAAAAATAGATTCGAACTCGCATCACCACTTGGTACAGACCACGAACGAATGGAAAAAGAACGGCCTAAAAATCAACAACCCCGCGTATAAATTGTATAACCCTCGTTTCTGCCCCGCGAATATACGAAAGTTTTTCGAACAACGATTGATTCTAGGCAAACTGAAACTGAAGATTCGAGAGAGAGAGAGGTCTAAGATGTAAACGTAAGTGTACGCTTTAAGGTGACGAGCATAGATCGAGGGAATGATCAAGGGCAAGCGTGCGTCTTTAACGCGAGCGTAGTTTTTCGCCGTAATTTTATGTCCTGTGCAGCGAATTTATATATCGTCTAGCCCTTATTAATAATCGCTTAATCGATGTACAAGACACGATACACGCATATAACACGTATACACACACACACACACACACATACACACGCATACATACGTACACAGACGTTGCAACACACGTAGATATATATATATATATCTATACGAATACGAAAGCCACCCCGTTCCGTTCAGGCGAAACGATGGAAGGAACGACAGGTAATACGTGAGACTGAAAGCAAGATTCGTTCGAAATAATTCTAGAATATGTTTAATATAACGAGACGATGAGACAGAGGTTGAAGAAAGGAGAGAAAGATATGATTCTTGCCTTCGCGTTACCTATATAAAGTATATGCGATATGTGTACAGGTGTACCTGTCCGATGATTAGAGAGAAGAAAAGAGGAACATGTGCCAATAAAGAGGAAAAACAAAAAAAAAAAAAATAAATAAATAAAAATAAACGGAGAGAAAGCGTGCGTGAACGAGGGAAAATGTTTTGCGTGAGAGAGGAAGAGAAGAAAGAGAGAAAGGGGGCTCGCTATCGCGCGGCCGTTGAGTTGCAAAGAGAGGATCCCTATTTACATATACGTATTGAAAAAAAAAAAGAGAAAAGAAATAGATTATATTATAACGCGAGACAAATTTATTCGAGATGATTGGAAGGCCAACGAACGAAGAACGTGTTCGAACAAGAGTGGAAGAAGGTTATTATGCCGAAGAAATCATAAAACGTGTCCCTCGGCACCGTGAACATATCAAGGCGTATTGGAGAGAGAGAGAGAGAGAGAGAGAGAGAGAGAGAGAGAGAGAGAGAGAGAGAGAGAGAGAGAGAGAGTAAGTAAGTAAGTAAGTAAGTAAGTAAGTAAGT